ACTTAACCATGTTGGATAGTCATGGGAATAATCCAGTAGATGAGGAGAGATTGATAACATTGAAAAGAGAGCTGATAATTGAGGTAGTGACATCCTTGGGAACAGAATGAAGATATGCAGAAAATAATACTAAAGAGAAAATTTGGTATTAATAGACTTACAGCCTAAATTTATATATCTTCTAGAGTTGTCTAAACTATAGATAAGCACACAAGATTTTTTAAAAGTATTTATTTTTGAGAGAGAGAGACACACGGTGTGAGTGGGAGAGGGGCAGAGAGAGAGAGGGAGACACACAATCTGAAGCAGGTTCCAGGCTCTGAGCTGTCGGCACAGAGCCTGACATGGGGCTTGAACTCAGAAGCCATGAGATCATGACTTGAGCTGAAGTCAGACACTTAACCAATTGAGCCACCCAGGTGCCCTTACAGGATTATTTATTTATCCCCAAACTTAAGAAAATTTTGGAGCATCTGATTTCTCAGGCCATACTCATGATTTGCAAATTAAAACTCACAGTCTTTTAACTTAAGGCTCTATCACAAAACTGAATCTATGAAATCTGCCAAATAAGTGTGCTTTGATAGATGCTTTCAAGAGTCAGTCCTTTGTGTTCAAGGTCTTAATACCATGTGGTGTGGGTTTAGAATAGGTTCTTATGGAGCTGGGCTAGAAGTACACAGTATGGCACTGATCCAAGGGAGAGAAACATACAACCCATGGTGGGCACTTCTCAGTACTGTGGGCATTGTGTTGTGTCTGCCCTTGACTTAGGGTGAGTGTTTGCTTCCCCAGTGTTTCCTCCATATGCGTGATAGGAAGGTGGCTCTTTTATAATTGAATCTGATTGAGAAATGCCAAGTCTGTAGCCATACACAAATTTTCCTTATGGGTCCCTCACATAGATGGGATCCTAGGTGGCATGCCCTGTATGACATTCCAGGGATATTCTGGTGAGAACACAGATTTGTTAGCACTCTAATCACTGTCCATCAAGAAACATTCCTTTCCCAAGCTGGAGACTTTACCTTTTCCTTTCATTCCTCTCTGGCCTCTCTTTCTGGTCCATTCATCTTACATTCTCTACCCTCTTTATCTTCGCCTATATATATGTAAGTCCTCCATCCAGAACTAAATGCATTTTATATCAGCAAGTTCTACTCTTGGATGAAAATTAAAGAGATTGCTAGCCTCTAATCAATCATAAGTTGCAGAAAATATTTTTTAAAATTTGTTTTGGTAGTAATAGGTCCTATAAAAACATTGAAATACCAAAAGATAAAAAATTTGAGGTGAAAATCTACCCATATTACTGCTCCATTCCCTAAAGGTAACTATTTTTTTTTCAAAACTTTATTGGTTTCCTTTCCATAATTTTTCTATACATTAACAAACTAGAGGTAAAAGCATAATAAACACATTATTTTGCAATTTTATGTGTTTTTTTACCCTAATAGTATAGCTTGAATAATTTTCTACATCATTCTACTGGACAGATGTGCCATTAAAGTTGAGGAAATCTTAAAATCAGATACAGTCCAAACAAATTTCCAACTTTGCCTGGACCATTGCAAGAGTTTAGTAATGACTGTTCCTTCATCTATACAATGTAGAGACAAGTGGCCATTTCCCACATTTTTCAAAAGGAGATTGAGTCTCTTTCCCCTTGTTACAACTACTAATATTGAAATAAAATATATGGTGATAATAAATGAATGATCATTTTGATACTGAAATAAAAGAGAAAAATGATTCTTCAAAACCCAGTAAATTCTAGAAAGTCTTCCAAATGCATTAAATGAATCTTCTGTCTCAAAAGAGACCAGATTGATGGTCTCTTCTTGAGTTGTTCTAAGCAAAGAGAACCCTGGTCTTTTTTCATGTATAAATATAACAAATGTTAGAAGAATATTTGTAAACACGCAAATCTCCATATTCTACCAATTAGACTTCATTTAATTTTATAAAAGTGATTTATCCCTTTTAAAAGATTACATTCAGGAAATGTGATTCATCTCTCAAATATATCTGCAGTTAATCAGAGTGCTATCACATAGGTTGAAATCAGCTGTGTTCTACACTCAGTAGAGTAATTCCTTCTGCTTACAGCTCCTTCAAAATTAACACTGAATACATTATAAATCCTGGAAACAAAATATGGAATAAATGCATGAATTTTAAATGACAGAATTAATTAAAATCCTTTACTGTTATTGACATGTACGGTTTTATAGAAGCTTGGATGAATAATATTTGCATGTGATTTACATTCAATTTCCCCATACTCATTTTTGCATACAGTTTGCATACATTTCAATGTATAGTAATTTCATACATTTAGACTTAGACTGTGAGATGGAAGGGAGCTATTAACTAATCTTTGAAAGGTCTGGGCCTTTTGGTTCTCAGTAGCCTCACTGGGCAACAATATGGACAAATCTGCTGCAAGATACAATTGTGGTCAGACTGGCTCAGACTGTCACTCTGAGAGACATGAAATTCTGTCTCTGGTACCTTCTCTGAACACAATCCCTAAAACTTCACAGATTGTGGAAACTACCTTATCTCTCATTATCCTTCCCTCTCAGTTTTAATATCCAGAAACATTTGCAAATATTTTTGAACTCTTTAGAATTTTAATTTGTTCACTTATCTTGGGGGAAAAGAAGCCACCATATATAAAAAATCAGAAATGGGAAGCAAGAAGAGATTCTTTGAAATAACAGAGGAACATGATACTTTTCAATTATTTATTTCAGTAAAGAGTAAGGTTGTTGCTGCCGGGAAATATTTTTTGAACTAGCCATGTTAATGGTCTGAATAAGTTTAGGTTTGGCCAATAGTGGTGCTTTATGTAACTAGCTCATCTCCAGACATAAATGAACCAAGAGCTAATTGTCCCGTTTTCTGAGGAGAAAAAGTGGACTAGCTTAATTATGGGTTAAAGGATTCTAACTAGACTCTAAGATTCCATGCCATATGCTAGAGCCCTGCTAGTTACTCTGGATATTTCTGGCCACTGTTCTGGCCCAAAGAGTCCATTTTGGCCTGAGGGATTCCAAGCATGGCTAAGGGAGCTTTGATAGATTAATTATGGTTATTCCTAAACGGAGGGATAGGATCACACTTGCTTTCCAGAAAGATTAATCTTTTGGCACATGGATGATTGGTAAGAAGCTAGTAAAGGTTGGGAGGTGGGTAAAGGAGTAGAAATAACCAGTGGTAGCTGACTGAGAAGGATGAGATAGAACAAGGAGTCCTGGTTGACTTCCAGATATCTAGTCTGAGTGCAATGATGCTGTGTATTGCATTAGGGCAGGTATGAAAAGAAGGAGTATGTTTTAAGGCCATCTTAACTTCTCAGTGTCTGTGGGATAACCTAGTGGGAGTTCTCAGTAGGCAGCTAACTATATGTTATAGAGCTCAGGAAATGAATTTGGGCTGGAATTTGTGGTGATAAAAGAAATCACTGGAATGAAAGGGAGAATGTGTAGACAAACCCAAAGGAGTAGTGCTAAGAATATCATTTTAAAATTCTCAAAAGTCTTAACTTCTGAATTGTTTTTATACAAAATATTACAGATCTCCGACAACTCAATGTATCTACCAAAGAATGCAAATAGGAGTGACCTCAGAGATCAGGAAGCTACAAAAAAGGTTATAGCTGCGACTAATTAAACTGGAGGAGGCATAGTCTGCCTAAGTCCATCAAGTTATTTCTTTGTTATGTTTTTGAACACTATTAGTGCCCAAACAAAACACAAAAAGGACTTACCCTGCAGAAAGACAGTTTATGCCTCCAGAGTAACTTTCTATAGACCAGATTTCCCACCAATGCCCTTCTTAAACACAGATTACTTGGATTCCAGTTTCTTGATGAACATCAATCTTGATACCTAATTGTTTCTCCCTCAGAATCTAATACAGTGTCATCTTCTTTTCTGAACAGCTTTAAGGCTTGAAATCTCTATAATACATCTAAAGAATAGACAAAAGGCTGAGAATGTTCCTCACGGTACAAAGATATTTTCCCATTGATGCCTTGGAGATGATGACTTTCTGCCAGTACCCACTATGGGATTAGTTACAGAGCATCATTATTGAAAATTCTGCAATAGAAGAGTGTGTTTCCTTCCTCTGTTCTAATTCAAACATAAGAAGGCCTCTGAATCTTTCAGAGATTAGAAAATCCTGGTTTATATTTTGGCAACAGCTGAGAACAGGTTGTTTCTGGAAATTCTTCTCACCTCAGATATCTTTGCTTTACTCTCTTGGAGCATAAATCCTTCTGGATCCAGAGCCAAGGACACAATCAGGCTGCCTAAAGTGTCCTTTTGTTTGAACACTGATGATCCCTCTGTGAATGTATGAATTAGGTGAAATTGCCTTTAATTTTTTTTTCAACGGTTTTTATTTATTTTTGGGACAGAGAGAGACAGAGCATGAATGGGGGAGGGGCAGAGAGAGAGAGGGAGACACAGAATCGGAAACAGGCTCCAGGCTCCGAGCCATCAGCCCAGAGCCTGACGCGGGGCTCAAACTCACGGACCGCGAGATCGTGACCTGGCTGAAGTCGGACGCTTAACCGACTGCGCCACCCAGGCGCCCCAAAATTGCCTTTAGCATCCTTCCCCAACTTGGTATGAGTTGACCTTCCACTCTGGCCTTAATTAGAACCCTTAGAACACAGTCTAGAGAGGCTGCCATGACACAAGGTCTTCCCTCCTTCATTGGGCAGCTGTACACATTATCTTCTCCAAAAATCAGTGCTCTGAAAAATGAGTTCACTAATAATCTGCTTGGGCACTTGGTTATCTCTGGTCTCCCCAAATAGTTTTATTCTGTTGTAAATTAGACCCAGCTACTAACATAAAGAACTACTTAAAATATATATATAACTTTGGTCCATGGACAATTCCCTTCCCCAGATTGTTTTTATATCTTTGCCCTTAATTAAACTCTCAACAAAGCCCCTAAGAACATGAATTATCGTGCACCTATCACAGCTGTTCCTGAATAGTTTCTGGGTGAACTGAATGAAGAGAGAATGCCTGGGTAGTACCACAAGAGTCTTTCTTCTCTTGAGAAAGCCCCACACTGCCTCTTTCTTTGCCCAATTGGCTCTGCCCCTGCAATTGCTGCCTCTCTTGTCTGAAGTCTGGGCAGAGCAGTAACTGCTGATCTTGGCCTGCCAGCTGGTATCTGACCAACTGTTCTTGGGTCTCCCTCCAGTTCCCAGTCTCCTGCAGGTATACCTGCTGAGCAAGAGAGCCTGGAGCACATGTGTGCCCCTGGGATGGGACGCTGGTAAGACCAAGAGCAGGAGCAACAGCCTCTTCTTGGCGGCCAACCTCCTTCTGGACAGCACGGTGGCCGACCTTCCTTCTGGACACTCCATTCAGTGACTGGTGGGGGAGCTGGTTCAGTTTGTCCACCATCACCTTCATCTTCTTATCTGTGAGAGAAAAGATGTAGGGGGAGACATGGATTTAGTTCTCAAATCAGTTGAGAACCATCACTTTATATATTAACATTCCTGAAAAGATGCTGTTGATTAAAGATTAGGTTGTATCAGCTTATTGATCTGCAAATACCTTTAGAAATATATATTTTTCTATAAATATATAGAAACAAAACAAACAAAAAAACACCGCAGGGGTGCTTGGGTGGCTCAGTCAATTAAGTGTCTGACTCTACATTTTGGCTCATGTCATGATCTCATGGTCATGGGATTGAGCCCACTCATTGGGATCCATGTTGTCAGCACAGATCCTGCTTGGGAGTATCTGTCTCTGCCCGTCCCCCACTCATGTGCACATGCTCTCTTTTTCTTGCTCTCAAAACAAATATTTTTTTAAAAAAACTCACTGTATCCCATGCCCAATTTATAATTAATATTATTTAATAAAAATTTGATAATATCACTTCCCAGGAAAATACTTTTTATGATCTAGATAAGTCATCAAGGATTTCTCCTTCTAAGCACAATGTCTTAAATCCCAAAACCAGACCACAGTCGGGCCTTACCAAGCATGCCAACTCCCATTTGTATTAAGAAATTTGAGCTCTAAAAGCCAGTCTTACCTAACACTGGTTTTTATGACAAATTCACAATCTGAATATCTTTGATTTTATAAAACATGAATATAAACATATGTAGAGATAATACAAACATATCAATAAACATGTATCCATATGAGTGTGTACACGTATGGTTATATAATAGTGGAAGGAGAGAAGGAGCACTAGACTGGGGTCCCAAAATAAATGTTTAAGTCTCTCTTCACTGCTAGCTGGCTCTGTGACTTTCATCATGTCTCTTAGCCTCTCTGGACCTCGGTTGTAGAATTTCATATTACTCTCAGGTGCTACTTAACAGTTTACTAAAATGTATTTCATTTTAGCAGTCTTAATTTAATTATAGTTTTCTTCCCTTGACATTTCATTTGTACTTCCACTTCCTCCCCCCCCCCACCCCCCCACCATTCAACAGAATTAATCTTCAACTCCGAAGAGTACAACATTGGTACTAGCCATGGTAACAGATGATCTGGGCACTTTTGCCCTAATTTGTACCAATTCTTTGAAGGATGTATTATATAAGCAATAACACTTCTAGCCTTTAAAATATGATCATGCCATAAGTGAATGAGCTAACTTACCTATCATATTACTTAGAGAATAAGTAAATGATGATGAACTAGAGCTAGATAGAACTAAATACAGTTAAATGAAACCTACCAAAACAGTTGTTTATGGTATTAAATATGTGAAAGATGGCCTCTAGAAGTGACATAGCAAAGGAACAAAGAATGCAAGCTTAGAATCAAACAAGTATGGTTAGATATGTATCTACCTCATAGAATTGCTTGAAGGTTAAATAAGATGAATCATGCTAAGCACTACCCAGAATCTATGATGTAGTGAAGATTAGATAAGTAATAATCATCATAATTCAAATTGCTAGTACTCAGATAGTACTCATTCTTGCCAGGCACTGTGCTTAATGCTTTATGCCCATTCACTCACTGAATCCTCATAGCCACTCCATGAGGCTAGTCCCATTATTGTCCTCATTTTACAGATGGAAAAACAGGTATGGAGGGTTGAGTTACTTGTCCGAAGTCACAAAGCCTCCAAGTGTAGACACAAGATTCAAACTTAGCTAGCCTGGTCTTTACCATTTAACATAATTACTTAATATGATTCCATACACATAATTTTTTACTTTGTCTATGTTTTACCTTAATAAAATGTATCCTAAATTAATAGCATTTTGAATATCTTTATCTCACACAGATGGATATATTATACAGATTCACCTGAAAATAAACAAATATGCACCATCAACAAGAGAGACCCCAGATGTCTAACTTGGGAGTGTCTTTTTTCCCAAGTTTGCCTAAATTTGTATATACATTCCATTCTCACCAATTTTCTTAAATGTCGGCTCTTAGATTTGCATTTATTTGCTAAATATCTGGTTGCTGAAGGTTTGAAACATTTTCATTCATAAGTTTCAAAATTGCCTCAGATTCAATATCTCAAAAGAATGAACTTGTTAAATTCTTCTCAAATTCTACCTTTGTCTTTCTTTACCCTTTTTCAATCATGCTGTCCCTTTCAGGTGCTCCAACTACATTGTAGGAGGAATCATTCTGAGCCTCCAGAGATTCTTCATTGTAGAACTCATCTATTTTCTCACTAGCTTATTAGTTCATTGTTCATTCATTCATTCATTCGTTCATTCATTCATTGTTTTCTGAGCACCTGCTATATGATAGGCCTAGAAATACAGCAGTGAACAAGAAACAGTCCTGATAGCCTTCAGTTTATGCTCCAGTAGTGGGGGCAGACAGAAACTAGAATATGCATGGATGGAGCCTGTACTAGGTCCTACTAGAAGCTCCTGGGAACTTCTCCCCTGCTCTCGAGGAGCTCCAGGAAACAGATCTCTAAGCTGATTAAGGTGAGAGCCTGGTAATAAGTGTGATAGCAAGTGTCTAGGTAAAATACTAGGGAAGAAAAAAGAAGAATTACTTTATACTTACTGCCTGAAAGATTAGGAAGACTTCACAATGGAGATGACTTGGTTTTGAGGGATAATATTGTGGGAAGATATTCCAGTATACGCTTTGGCATATGCAAAGACAGGAAGCAAAAAAAAAAAAAAAAAAAAAAAAATAGGTCAAGACACTGAGAACTGAGGTTGTGTATATAGATGTGCCTGTGGTGTGGGGAGTGTTAAAAGAAAAAAAGTAATAATACTTGATAGAGGCAATAAATAAATAAAGGCTCTTGAAAACTCTACTAAGGAGTATGGATTTATTTCATAGAAGATGGGGAGGTGATTTTAGAGTAGGGAAGTGACATCTTATTTTCATCATGGGAAGAACAGGCTTTCTATGAGAAGAAAATGAACTGTGAGGGAAAGAAGGAGGTCATTTGAAAGGCTACTGAAATAGTCTGAGCAAGAAATAATAAAGAACAGTAGGCCAGAGTCAAATATGTTGAAGAGAAGAATAGACAGATTCTGAGTACAAGTTATAACAGTGGTAGTGGAAGGGAAGGTTAGTATTTATTGAACGTCTAGGTATGCATCAAGGACTTTAGAACGATTCTCAGAGATTCTAAGACAGAAGACATCTTGTAATCTAGGGAAAGCAAAACAGTGTATCTCTATTGCATCAGAAGAAAACACAAAACATTTGTAGGTGCACATAAAGATACAAACCAATTGAAAATAAAAATATTCCTGTCAGGCTGTATTACCACTAGTGGTTATCCAACTTCCTGGTAGTTATAGGGGCTAATGAATTTTTCTTGAATGAATACTATAAATATAAGGATGTGAATATATTTTATATTTCCCCCAAGAAATTATAGCTTTTTTGAAAACATGGGCTTGCTCTTACTTTGTTTTCATCTTTTATAGAAATTATTTCATTGTTAACTAAACACTGATATTAGTTTCCTTTTCTGCTAAAGGAATGTTAAAGAAAGTGGGAAGCTTTTTCGGACTAGGTATCTGTAAAGTCATGTCACAGTAACAAAGTCCTTAAGTTCACATTCTGGCTAGCGTTCACAGTGTGTGCATACACGCGTGTGTGTGTACACGTGTATGCGCTCACATGCTCAGGACATGTGATAAGAGTTCAAGTTTTGGAATAGGACAAACTATTGAACCTATGGTTCAATAGTTCTGGGTTCTGGGTTTAGTACAAAAAGTAACTGAACCTTTGAATTGCAGTTTTCTTGTTAGCAATATGGGATAATTTGGTCTACTATCTCATAATGCTGTCATGAAAGCATATGAGTTACAGCATGTTTTAGCATACTGTAACCTAAGAGGGGCCCTATAAAGCTAAACTCTTGTGTTGCAGTTCTGTTATTGTGATGATGATAATGAAAGTGATGATAATGATGATGACAATGAGGATGACTTGAGGAAGGAACAACAGAATCATTCATAGGAGTATTTCATGGCAATTTAATGTACATACTAGTTTATTCATTATTTTAAACTTCTGTGATTTTTTTTGAGATTGGTAGATCAGTTTGGGGGATATTGACATCTTAACCATATCAAGATTTCAAATCCATGAAGATGGTATATTTCTCTATTTATTTAGATCTTCTCTCAGCCACGTTACGTAGTTTTCAGTGTAGAGGATTTACACATCTGCGAAATTTAGCTCTAAGCATTTATATATTTGATACTATTTATTATTTTTTT